TTGGGCCTTCAGCTTGCGCGTGGAATGGTTGCAATGGTTGTGCATGTGATCATCCCCCCTCCCCACACTCTCTGTGGAAGAGGTGCCCTCTGCACAGCGCCTAAAGCTCCAAACTGTCGGGGTGGGGACTAGGACTAGGAGCGGGGGGGGGCGCAGAACGCACAGCGCACAACCATGTATACTCCAAGGCAGCAAGGCCGCCAACCTGGAAAACCGGAACCGAACCGCCACAAGCCGTCCATCCAAATGAACAACGGGAGCCCGCGAACATCCGCGAACCGCCGAACCGAATTGCAATTCAAAACGCACCCCTCCGTGCAACTGTCCCAGAGTGTGATCCTTCCTCCACCCCCTGCATCGCTATCCAACTGAACCGAACCGCAAGTGTCTCTAGGAGTCATGCTAGAAGCGCCAGAGAGAGTCTTCGACGCCTTTTGCACGGACATGTTAGCTTCACTCCCCTAGCCTTATAGACCGAAAGCACCCACTCACTCACTCCCTCGCTCCTTCGCTCCGGCACTCGCTCCCGCACTCTGTTTGTCTGTCTGTCCGTCTGTCTCTCGCCCTCTTCCCCTCTATCTATCTGTCGATCGATCTGTCTGTCGGCCGGTCTACTATTTCAAACAGCGAAGTAAGGATGTGTGTAAGCCGGTAAATGGATGTGGATGTGTTTGTGGGCGTGTGTACTCATTGTGCAGCTGCCATATCAGCTGAGGTGTGGATTTGGACTCCACCCCAGATGGCCACTCGGTGCGAAGAGTCGACGATGTTAGTACAGACCAGTGAGAATAGTATCAGAAATCGCTATGCAATGTTATACAGTTGTCGTGCCACATGGTATTGAGAACAACTAATTGAACAGCATTGATGATCAGTGCAGGTGGCCTGACAGCGTGCCATGAAGGGCAAAAGCCTTAAATCCTTGCCCCAAACCCTCTAAAAACCCTATGAGAGTCGAACATCGGAATCTCTGCGGCTTAGATCGTGCTGTGGAGCTGTGCTCGACCAGAAATGCCGTGGATGTGGGAACCTCAGAGGGGTACAATACTTAGGGTTTAAGATAGGGCAGTAAGCCATGTCGTTGGTGACAGGAAGGATAGTGAAACTAATGATAGCAGCCGAAGTCGTAGTATACAAGTCAGGGCTCATGCTGCGGTGACCAAGGCCATTCTAAGCACCAGCCGCAGAAAGGCCAATCTTAAATGGCGATGAGCCAGGCAATCCGCGTGCGAGAAGCCCTACTGCGTTTGGCCGAGCTCCGCCGAGTGCTGCTTCTCAGTTTCAATCTTATGCACCTGCAGTACTTTTTTAGATTGGTTCCTTTGTGGTTTAGGCACTCCAGATTCAGGCATGATTCGGACTAGGATGATTAGATGTAATGTTCATGAGCATACCCCGCCTGCAGGTCATTCCAACCCAACCTCCGACAGCGCCGGATACTCCAATTATCCGTGTTATCTGTGCTTTCTGTTCAACGAGACTCGACTCCGTGCAGTTACGCAAAAAAAACAAAACGTCAAGCGAGACGAGCTCTGCTATGTTGATGGTTGAATGTCGTGCTTCATGTGTCCGACATTTGTCCCTCTTGTCGACAGATGGGTCCGGTTACTGAGCGGGTCGCCCCCTAGCTAAGGCAAGAGAGGTGCCTTGGCAAAGTTGGCGTTGTTTGCATCCCTTCACAGGGCAGAGGCAGGAGAGATCCAGGTCCAACTGCCGAAGCTTATAAAAGTAGTAATAATAATAATAATAGCACCAATTATAATAAAAACAATAAAAATCATAAAAATATTAATAATAAGCTTGAGCTCCGAACGTTAGCAAAGTCTGGATTGCGGTAAAGAGAGCTGCACAAGCGAAGTTGAACTCCCATGCAAGGATCCGACAGCGCGGCGTTGACCCCAAGGAGGACAAGAAACGCCTTCTGACTGACAAAGATCCAAGTTTTCCCATCCAACACAGGCCTCAAGCCCTTGATCATGTGAGTTTCTGGAGGAGCCTTCAAGTCCATTCAAGTCCCTAAACCCGTAAAGAAGTCATGGTTGCGGACAAGGGCGCAGTTTCTCGTTGGCACTGTAAGAAAGCACGTTGGCGCCCTTTTCAACGGTACGTAACGGATGCATGTACGTATGTGTGCATGTAGGTATGTATGTATGCATGTGCATGATTGTGCATGGATGTGGGCACGTACCCGTATGTCACGGCGTGTGTGTGTGTGTGCATGTGCATCTGCATGTAGGCAGGCAGGCAGGCAAGCAGGGTAGGTGTTGTTGCGTAGGTAACTACGTAAGCAGGTGGGTAGATAGGGCATAGCATGAATGAACTATGTACACTTAGATTGTCTTCAAACGTGACTGTGAGAAACGTCCTACAGCAGTTTACATTTGTAACCGTTTTTGCACATCTGCATGTAGTCATGAGTTGCACGTGTGCGAGTTTGGTTTCTTCATGTTGAGTTGCTTAGGTGACTCTGGTCTTGCGTGCATGTACTCGTACAGGTGCAATCTGTTTCTAGTGCAGAATATAGGACAGCGACAGCGGGCCAGCACTTTCAGAGAGTTCTTTTGTGATCCTGCTCTCGAGGCAAGGTTTTGCTGCAAGAGCTGAAGAAGCTGCGGAAGGCGTTGTCAACGTCTCACATTAGCTACCTGGCCTCTGGACAAGTTGACTTGCAGGGAAGCATCTGAGATGGGAACCACATGTCCAAAGCAGTGATGATGTTGGATCCTTTGATAAGGTAAACAGATGAGTGAAGTGGAGCACTGCTTGGGAAACTTGCGGACGCTTCTGGAAACCTTCGAGTTTTCCGACGAGGCAGGCGGCCAAGTGCTTGTTGCCGACGCTTCGCGTCGGCATAGCATGTTTCACGAGAAGGCATTAATCAACTACATTAATGCTCCTAGCAAGATGCCATGTGTGGGCACACAGCCTTTGGGTGGACGTGCTTGCTGTGGGAAGACGCCCGACAGATGGAAGTAGCCTCACATGACTCTAGTCGAGTCAAACAAACAGTGATTGGCGGAAATTGCGCAGGAAAGGCCAAATGTACAATGAGCCCGCACCGCACCATTCCGCGGCATGTTACGTTGCAAAACCGCCTCCGCACACGTCTCTGCGAAGGTGGCACAGCTTGATAAACACTGAGCAAGTTTGGCTTCAGGGCTGAGCGGCTTTTGGAGCACGAGCATGCCAATCAATCTGCGTCCCTTCATCAAAAACAAACACAGATCGGATTCCGAAAGTTCGATAGCATCATAGCCAGTGGGGCAGAAGTTCTGGAACACCGACACGATGCCTCGGGCCCTGGGGCGGATAATTTGGGGACACCTTGGGGTCAGTTGGTGCTGCGGCTAATGCTTGATGGCCAAAGTATGCCAAAGTAATGAGAAGTAAGTCGTAGGTAGCATGTGTAGCTCAAGTGGAACAAACGGATGTTGCTGGCTGAGGGTTGCTCATTGCAATAATTAGTTGATGTGGCCATTCTGGGCACTGCTGCTGACGCTACTCTTGCTATGGCTATTGCTAGAGAGAGCTTGAAGGAAATCCGGGATTGGATTGATAAAGGCTTGCAAGTGCGGAGGAGAGAGCAGAAAGAGTCGTGGGCTGGTTCCCTGCAACATTAAATGCACGCGTAGGCAAAGCGTATGGAGCGCGTAGCCATTGCAGTGCTTTTGCCTCTCCTAACCCTTCCTTCTTGTAGCCTGCTCTTAAGCAGTGTCGAGCAACGTGTGCAAACTTTTTGTTTATGGACTTCCGAGCGGCTTAGCTCGTTTAGAGTGCATTCTGATCGTCTCCTGTGGACTTTCGCTAGTAAATTCAGAAGAGGCCAGTCCCAAATCTCCAGAAATCAGCATGGTGAGATGCGAATGTGCTTGAACCCACCATGACAAGAAATCATAACCAACAGCATGGGCGTACGAGTTTTCCTTGTCAAAGCAAGCCCGACAGTGTTCTCTGGAGGAACTACCTTTGCATAGCGGGCAGGCTGCGTAGGTAAGGTTTCTCCATGAAGCACCTGCGTGGTCCCGCGCCCCATCTAAATCAGGGATCCAGCGGGGTCCCGCGTAGTCACCAGTGATATAAGAACAACCCGAGCCACCAAAAAAAAACACTACTCATTTGGCTCATTGCGAAAGGTGCAGCAGTACACTGTTAAGGCTGCTGGGGCAATCGCCGCGCTGCAAGTGACTTGGTCATGACATGTCATGACCAGTGCTCATCCTCTGGACATGTCCAGTTCAGCCCATGGCATGGAGAGCCAAGGGCATCCACATTTCTCGTCCAATGCTGAAAGCAATGGCCAAGAAGACGCACAGCTGCAGAAGCTACTTAGAGGTTGGATCATAGGTAAAATAACTCAGCAAAGTTATATTTAACCACACCCAGTTCTTACCAAGTCCCCTGACGTCCAAACTAAGAGATCTGCTTCTTTTCCCCTTCTCCACGTGCCACGCTCGCTGAGGTATGCGCGCAATGAAATGGCCGGCTCGCAGGCTGGCCCCGTGTTGCAAGGAAGGGTTTAATATGGTTTAGGATGATAAGCGCGCACAACGCGCACGAAAAAGCTTCAATCCTCTGGCACTCCTGAAATGAGGAGCTCATTGTGTCATGGGGTCCAAAAATGCTCCTGTGGGCGAAGGACTTTCAGTCCTGACTCTAGGGTCAAAGATCTTGTCCTCGCTGCATGATCCTGTGGATGTACAAGTTTAGCCTTCGTGCTTCATTCACTGACTCTTGTTTTTGTCATGCTTGCGAAGGCGGATCCCAAGGCCGCACATGCGAAGCTTGGACGATGGTCGGACTGCAATCGGGATGCTTGCGTTGATCTGGTTAGTGTGGTAAGGAGGTCACGGCAAGCTGCGGTCCTGACCTCAGACATGTTCGCAGGTAAAGCTTCTGTGTATGCTACGCCCGGCAGCCAGCTGCAGCCGCTTCTTGCTCGTCTCGATCCCGTGGAATGCTTGTTGAGACAAGTCGGGACTAGTCGGGTCGTTGCGAGGGCCATGGAACATGGTGACTTCGCCGAGACCATAGACCGGCTGTGTGATGAATTTCGCGAAAAGTTGGTGAGTGCCTATGAGTCACTTCAAGCTCCCCCAACAGAGGCTCCCCCAACAGAGGGGGCTCTCCGAGGTCTCAGTCAGAGGGTGGCCAAATCATATTCAGTGGCGAGCAGCCGTGCGGGTAGCCGTGCGACAAGCCGTCCGATATCACGTGCGAATAGCAAAGGCAGCAGTTTGACTCACTCGCAGAGCTTATCAGCACGTTCGACCAGCCGGGTCGTAAGGAGTGAGACAAACGGCCCGGGCGATGGTTCGTGCAACCCAAACATGAACTCTATGACTTCAAGCTCCATGGAGAGTGACCACATTCCTCACGGCGATTCCTCGACGATCTTCCGGTCAGTTCTTGCACACCTCACTCCCGAGGAGGCTCGCACTGTCCGCTATCGATTGAGATGGCGTCTTGGAGCTATGTCCTCTAAGACAATAGTTTCAGGCAAGCATATCCACGATGCGGTTTCTACACTGGGCCTCACAACTTACTCAGAGGAGGACATGAATGAGTTCGTGAACTTGCTGGCAGACTTCATCAAACTTAGCTTCGCTGGGTCCTCAGCTAAGCCTATCAGCCGACGCATCACAATCACTTTGTCGGCTGAATTCGAGTAAGTCTAGTATTCTTCAGATTCATGCGTTTTGCCGAAGGCTTCGCTGCGGGGCACATTCCATCGTACCGTAAGCCCGAAACCTGTGCTTGGCCCTGCCTGGCAGAAAGCCGAAGCAATCCACGCGGACTCAACAGGGCAAGCCAGCTAGGCTGCGTGCATTTCATCCTGTCCTTGCACCGCATTTCATCCTGTCATTGCACCCTACATCATCGAGGGTCACGAGAACGAAGGAAGCGCGAGAGCGTGGAAGCTCTGTCCGTCTCTGTACTGTCATACTGTCGATCTCACTTGAGTTTTTCATTGGGACGCTGATGGTGGTCGTGATGATGACGTCTCGGAAGGCTTCCTGGTAGTGGCACATTAGCTGTTGCATGCTCATGCTACGAGTACCACACCTGAGAACATGAACACTACAACTCTAATTTGCTACTTGCGACTCTTCTCAGTCGTCATGGCATGCGAAGTCGGCTAGGTCCTCTTGCCCAGTCCCTAGTCCGAAACGAGTAGCAGAACTTAACTTCTGTGCGACCACAGGGAAGGGAGCCCGTTTGGGCCAAGGTCGGGAGTTTGAGACTGATAGCGGAGCAACTGAAGGCCCTCGCTCTGAAGTTGCGATTTTGGCCCTCGGCGAGAGTCCCTCTTTGCGCTCAATGTGGCTGCTGGAAGGGAATTGAGCTTCAGCCAAGAGAAGCAACAAGCATTGACGAAAATCATGGAAAGCACACATCTCGTTGCAGGTCTCACCACCACCAACTACCTGAACATAGAGCAACCAACAGAATCTGTTCTCAAATCGGCACAGCGTGTCTCAAATGGGAGAGGCCGCGGCCCGAGATGGATGAGTCCAGTCATATTGTGGACTGTACCGAACAAGCCTAAACCCGTACAGCGTGTGCACAGCGGCGAAGTTTAAGCTAGTCTTCACAATTCCTAGCCGGAAACAGGTAGCCAAGCTGAACCTGCAAGGCTGCCTTTTCGGGCCAAAGTTCAAGCAGGAAAGCCACAATTTTTGTTTCAATGCTTTTTTTTACCCTTGAGGGTTAACACGAAAAGAAGGGGCAATGAATGCCACCTTTCCGACTGACCGCTTTCATCCGCATGTCAACATTCTAAGAGGGGGGGCTAAACCGGACGTCGCACGCAGTATGCAAGGTAGTCGTGATGAAACCGCATTTGGCTAAGCCGTTTCACGGTGCATGCGACGATGTACATGAAGGCCAGAGAGACGATGATAACTGGTTCAGATCAGGCAGGCTTAGCAGTAGTCCATGACTATTTGCCCTGGCCCAGGAGGCCATGGACGTGGATGAGACGCCGGAGCATGACGGAATCCAATTGGGGTGGTTCTCCAGTGACAACATGGCCTTCCGGCCGGTTTGGGCATGGCCCGAAAAGGTGGAGTCGGAGATTCATGGGCCACAGTTGAAGAAAAGTGTGACGCAGAAACTAACAACCGCGCAGGATTTGCAGCCTATGCGAAGCTTCAACGTGGTCCCGGCGCAAGCATTGATGGAGGTATTGCTTGCAACCGAGGGTGAGGTCCATAAAAAGATTTTTGGCTCAAAGCGCATGCAACAGTTTCGGGCATTGAAGGAAATTTTGCTAGCGGCTGACACCAATCGGCTTGTGGCAGAGTTGACCTTTGTGCGAATTAACGATCTGGCTGGGCCTGCAGAGCGCACAAATATTCTGACCATCATGGAGCCACTCGTAGCCCTTCTCATCGTCGCCAACGGGGTAATGATAGGTCTGCAAACTCATCCAGGAAACGAGGACTGGAGCGGCTGGCCGGCGCTGGAAGCGGCATTTACATGTGCGCTATTTTTGGAGATAGGACTCCGCATGTATTTCATGCGATGCCGCAACTATTGCTGTGGCCCTGACCGTTACTGGAGTTACTTTGATGTGTTCCTTGCTGCAACTGGACTTTCCGACGCGATCCTCCAGGCGGTTGTGGACGAAACCATTATGGACGCAAATGGCACTTCGCTTCTGAGGTTTTGCAGGTTGATTCGCCTGGTGCGGATTGTCAAAGTCTTCCGAATCAAAGCAATGAGGGATCTCCGGCTGATGGTGAAAGGCCTGATCGCAGGAGTGCGAACTCTCAGTCTTGCCTTTTTGCTGCTCTTTGGGGTCCTCTATGTGATTTCCGGACTGGCAGCCATTACCATCGGTTCTGACAGCAAGACAAAGGACCTTAATCTCGATAGCTACTTTTCGGACATTCCTCAGACAATGTTCACTGCGTTCCGTTGCTTCACAGGGGAGTGCACAAATGAATTTGGACACCCAATCCTTATTGAGTTGAAAGAGGCATATGGACTGCCCTTTGTTCTTTCCTACGTCATCAGCTACATGCTCGTCTCGATGGGGATTTTCAATGTAATTCTAGCTGTCTATGTTGATATCACGATGAAGGCCGCGAAGGAGAACGATGCAGTCACTGCGGAGCAGTACTCGCGGGAGTCTGTTCGCGTTGCACGGGCAACAAGGGAGCTTCTGAAAAAGTTCCAGGCAGCCTATCACAAGTTTCATGAAATGGAAGAAGACGACTCCCCAGGAAGGCGTCTATCGAAGATGAAGCTGAACAAGCCGAGCACATTGTTTGCCCAGGACGGAACGCATGACATGGAAATCACCAAGGAGATGTTCTTGCTCATTATCCAGGACAGGAGCGTGCAAAAGCTGATGAACGAGTTGGACTTGCCACCCGATCGTGCCAACATGTTTGAGATCATAGATGCTGACGGCAGTGGCACACTGCAACTTGCAGAGCTGTTGCACGGCTTGTTGAAAATGCGTGGCGACATCAGCAAGTCCGATGCTGTGGCAGCCCCTTGGCCCAATCTAATAATGCATGCAGCACTTGGAGGGGGAACCGCACCCTGCCTTTGTTCTGCCTGACACAACTCGTCAGGCCTACCTGGCCACCAAAGCGGTGCAGGACATGCTCACCGAGATCAAAGAGGACTTACGCTCGGTGAGGAGCGAGGCTCATCGCAGGACTTACCAGCCACCGGAGCCGTTCAGTCCTGGCAGTGGGGTCTCAGAGGGCTCCTTCCCCCTGAGCCCCCTCGGGCCCCTTGACTCACCAAAGGAACCAGCCAAGCATGATCCGGAGCCAGAACTCACACCGGGCCTATCCGGTGTCCAGGCCTCTCAAAAGCCCGAAGTTCCAGGCGGAGAACTTTCCCAGCCTCCTTCTCCAAAGGCAATTCAGATTCATACAGACACATGATCCATCATCTCATGTGGCGTTTCACCTATGATGTTTTCCATGCCGTAGAACAGTCACCGACGGCCGGTTGGCTCCTGCTGGTGTGATTTAGGCTCTGTGTTAACGACTCGACTAGAAACCTGCGTGTCGAAGTTTGCCTTCTCATATGAATAAGAGTCGTACTCATAATCATCATCATAATGGTAACAGTAGCTATGGTGAAGGGTCATAACCAAACTAAAAACGAGAAGAATAGTTTGAGCAGTTGCAGAGAACCCCTCGGCCACTGTTGGATTGTCTTCTGCCATTGGTGCTTGACATGGCAGACTCTTCACACAAGTAGCTCACTTTTTTTCATGCTGAAAGATTGCGGAAAAGATTAGGATCCCCTGTCGTTTCCGTGCTGTCGGATGTTACTGGCCCTATGCTTGCTGATAGAAAGTGCTTAGGTTTGGAAGACTGGCCGCGGGAAGCAGGCCGGGGTGACGTGGCAGCAGACCGGTACACCCTTTAAGCACTTATGAACTGTAGAAAAGCGCTGCGAGGAGCAAAGATCGCAGGAAGTTCGAGATGGTCCAGGGCAGCCGAGACTTAGACATCAAAAGGAGCCCCACATTTGTTGTGGGTGAGTTTCGCAGGCTTTTATTGCATTGCTGCAAAGCTTACAGCGGCTCAGAATCCCATGCAAGATGTCCCATGGCATAGAGGCACAAGCTCTTCCCAGAAGCTCTCAGAATCCCAGGCGCAGCGGCACATCGGGGCCTGTTGTTCAAACTCCTTCCGAGACTGACTTCTTCGCAAACGAGGTCCGTGAAATCGCATTCAGACTTGGGGTCTGGTTGTTAAGCTGCAGAACGCGTGGCTCGAGTGGAGTGGTCTTACCCGCTGAGTTGCCTGAATGACACTGACTACTTAGCGAACGAGCGGGGCTGACCTCGCACACCTGACTTTTTTTCCGAATGCTTCGTGTGCATCGTGTTTGCTTTTCAGGTTGGTTGGCCAGATGATCTCATGGACAGCATTGAGAGCGATGTGCCGGACCCCGCCACCTAGCTTGCGATGCTCCGGGAGATCTTTCGCCTGTGCCCTTGCAACTTTTCTTTTGCCCACCGCCACCAGTGATGTTAAGGCAGAGACTGAAGGGGCCCCGGGCGCCAAGCCCGGCCGCGAGGCAAACCGACAATTCTGCCATGGAGCTACTACAAGTACCTGTTAAACATCCTCGAGCTCAGCTATGTGTTCAATCTTTTGCTTGGGCACCTGTCATGCTATCAAGGGTTTATTGATGACAGTTCCGTGCGAAGCATGAAGAGGCTACCAAGCGCCGCCGGCGCAGTTCTGCCAAAAAGGTCGGTGATACGAAGGACCCGGGGTCTAGCAATCATGGGCCTGCGTTTTGGGGGCTTCGTTTCATACAGAAGCCTAAATAATTAACATTATTATTCCTTAAAGCTCCTTATTTTAATTATACTACAAATCTTCAGGATCCCCAAACCCTATTCTAACGATTGAGGCCCCAATATTAAGCAGCTTGGGCTCTCAATTGTCTTCTGACACAGGATGGCAAGCCTCTGCCGAAAGATGCGGTGAAAGAAGAGCAGGTTCCGGCGAGAGTGGCAGAGGAGATGTTGGCTAATCGGGTGGTGTCCACATGTCAACTTCCCATAAGTTTCCCACCAGTCTTCAGCCATGGTGTAAACATGCAAGCCAATGCACTGTTACTGTTCAGAGTTGCAGACGGAGAGGCCTCATAGACACTTAAGTGTATGTCGAAGGTATGGTTTTCTTTTTATTAAGTTCCATAGCGGTTTCCGGGGTGTTCAGCAAAATTACACAACATGGTGGTCCGAATGGGGGTGGCGGTGGTGGAGGCGGCGGTCCATCATCATTGTGAGCTTGCAAAGAAGACAAAGGTGACGACGATTCGATGGTGAATGTTTTGATGCTGCGAAGGATGATGACCATGATGATGTCGAAGAACACACGGAGGTTTTTGAGGTTCATAGCCATGATCACCAACATCAGCAACGTATTGTGCCTACTGCGGGTTGCCCCGTTCCAACATATTCGCCGACAGGCTATGCACAGATGCAGGCTGTTGCGGCAACCGAGACCCACTACGTTGAAGGGCTGCCTTCAGAAAGTAATTAACACAGCAAGGTTCTTGTCGTGAACGTGCATCCGCTTGCTTGGCAGGGACAAGACCTTGCGAGGTCCAAGCCGATCAGGCGACCAAGCAAGACGCGGCAGCGAGAGCATCCTACTGGTAGCATGCCTGCTGCTCGGCTAGTGTTGATCCACTATCAGCCCCGACAGTGAGAACAAGTTCGTCGTCGTCGCAGCAGCAGGAGGAGTAGGAGCAGGAAGAGGAGGTACGACTTGTTGTGGAGGTGATAGTGGAAGTAGTTGTGGCAAACAGTGGTAGTAGTGGCGGTAGTAGCGATAGTAGTAGTCGTCGTAGTGTGTGGTAGTAGTAGTAGTAGTAGTAGTCGTAGTCGTAGTCGTAGTCGTAGTCGTAGTCGTGGTGGTAGTAGTAGTAGTAGCAGCAGCAGCAGCAGCAGCAGTAGCAGCAGCAGCAGCAGCAGCAGCAGCAGCGCGAGAGCACTGGTGGATGTTGCTGTGCATTCTCGGTAGAAATCGTCAAAAGCATCTGGCATGATTCTGTCATGTGTATGGCATATGGATCGCTTGATGTTTGTGTCCTTGGATGTTTACTACAGGCTCCGTCTGCATATATTGCTATTTCCAAGGATGCGAGAAGTCGCCGAGCTTCTTTCCCAGCTCCGACCCGGAGAGACGCCACAGCCCAGAAGCAGGCATGAACTTATATTATATAGGGTAATCAAGACGATGAGCAAAACCATCGCTGCCGTCGATGTCGCAATAGAGAAGCTACTGTAACTGTTATGTTTGACACGCATCGTTACTGCATAGTCGGCAAACTGCAGCAGTGCACATTGGCAGGACCGACGAGCACGATCTGGATCGGCCACCAGGATATGCACATTCCCGGCCGCACCTGTAGACAGGAATAGTGCAAATGCAGATCATGCGACAATTCTCTCTTTCTGTCCCGAGGAGGAGCGAGATGCCAGTCAAACATCCAACTGCCAGAAATCTGATGCCGCTCCAGCATGCAGCACCCGTTGAAGAATCCGGGCAGCAAGAGCGAATTTGCAACTAAAGATCCTGCCGCAGTAGATCGCACCAGCAAAATAAATGCGAGCACCAGTTGCAACAACGTTCGACAGCACTACTCCAGTACACAGGCAGGAAACCATCAGTTGGTAGTTCTGTGCTGGGGCGATTTTAGAGGATTCCCAGTGTCCTAGTACTTTTGGTTTTGCAATTTCTACCTGTCGGTTTCCAACACATAGCAGTGACCGCCCAGCACGTATGCAGCCGTAGTCCGCAGAAGGCTGGGAAGCTGGTACTGCACTTGTATTGATCGTCGTAGAAGTAGAAGTAGAAGTAGAAGTAGAAGTAGTAGTAGTAGTAGTAGTAGTAGCAGCAGTTGCAGTAGCAGTTGCAGTAGCAGTTGCAGT